ACATAAATAAACATTCTATATAACCAAGAAATTTGATTATCCAAAACTGAAATGTGCAGCTGCACATATTTCTTTATACAGAACAATTTTATTATACCTATTCAAATATATATAACTTAACAGTATTGACAATCCTGTAGAGCAGTAGAATGTCTTTTCGGGAATATTTCTACAACTAGAACTTTTCCAGTAAGTCAGTTTTTCTTGGAGCTATATTGTATTATCTCCTCTGGAAGTATTTATAGGATGTTCGTAAAGTTCGTCTATAAAAAAATTTTACAAGCATAATATCAAAGTGATATTAGATCGAAAATATTTTGAAAAATTCAAAATATATATGCAAAAGTAGGTCTTTGCATCGGAAATTGATTTTTTAGAACAATGGGGTTAAAAACAAATTAAACTCCATATAATTTTATGAGTTTTAGAAAACACTAAAACTAAATTTATAGTAATTTGTAAATTTGTCTTAAATATCTGAGAAATTTGATACATTAAACCTGAATTAATGGTATTGTATTTGGCCAGTGGTTTTGTGTTGTGAAAAATGGAATTCATTTTTAATTAAACAAAGTCAATATTTGAATAGTATGACTAAAAATTCACGAAATTGTAAAAGAAAAAGTACACTTTATGAAGACGTACTCTGTTTCTAGAGTCGATTCCACCTGTATATCTATATAGAATCATAAAATGAAAAATTCACCATTAAACTAACTCAAAACTTTATTTAGAAGTAACTGAATGACTAATAAAAGATGTACAGAATTGTTATTTTATTTAAATTAGAGTATAAAATAAGTGTTTAATTGCACATTTCAAATCCACTACAATATTGACCAACTTAAAACCTAAATATGATAAAATAATTCAAAACAAATCCACAAATTACTGCGGCTTGTTATCAAACTTCTTTCGATATCAATAAAAATTTCATTTCATTCATTTTTACAATTTGGCACTATGAAAGCAATTATCAAAATACACAACACTTTTTGTATAATTACAAACTACACTATCTGCTTTCGATTTGAGATTGTTGCAATCTCACCAAATAACGCATGCTTTGTGACTTTTAAGAATAATCGTTATTCTACTATCACAGACATTGTTTAGAATTTGCCTTTAAAAGGAAGTTAACTGAATACACCAAACAAAATCAAGAAGACTTTTACTAGATAAAATGCATAAATAACTTTTGATCAAAACATTTTTAACCTTTTGTTGACGGATTGTACCGAAGGTCCATAATGTAATGTTTTAATTAACTGTGCGCCAGATTACGTTTAAATTGGTATTCATTATAAGGAAAATGGTTGAGCTTCCTTCGTTGTTCCAAGATTTGTTTATTTATATTATTTGATCCGTAAACTTAATATACAAATGCCAACGTCATAATTTGCCTTTGTTGTAAAGTAGTGAAGAAAAAAATTTACACAGGCGAAAAAATAATTCAGTCTCCCGTAAATAACAATTAAATTAGGTTTGTCTCAACAATTGTCTTATACTATGATACATAGGAAGAACCACATGTTCCTTTTCTTATGCAAAAAGAGTGTGGATCATGTTGTATGTCTTCTGGAATTTCATAAATGTTTTATATGTGTTTGAGGTATGTTAAGCAGATTTATTTCCACTTCTTTTTATATTGTTGACGTACAAATTTAATGTGTTATAGCTTATCATTGTTATTACTGCTTTTTTTTATTCTTAGCTATTATAAATAGAGTATAGGGAAACAAAAGAAAACCTGATGAAGCCTGATCTGTTGATGGCGCCGGCGTAGAGATCTAAAATCGAATTCCCTCTCAGTTATTGGGATTCCAGGGGATTGTACCATGCAATTAAGGAAAACTATTTGGAAGATTATGGCTACCAAACATTCTTTACAATAGGATGCATACATACAAAAATAAACAGAATGAGACATAATAAATAGCGTAAAGAGATATTGAAGCAGTTTTTTTATGGAAAGATAATTTTGTAAATTGGAGAAAAGTAATTAATATTTACAATAAAAATATACAAACGAGAAAATGCATTTTTGATACACTGATTAAAATGCATTGGCTTACAACAGTTTGAATAGACAAAAGTTTTTAAAAGGTCGTAAAATGTGTACAATGAGATTGTTGATAATTATTTATAAGACTCTAGTAAATCAATAGGAATATTCGACATAACCGTTTTGAGATTAGTTGAGAAAATGGATGCATATAATTATTTGGCTTAACAGATATCCCTTCGATAGACAGTAGTTTCCAGCTTAAAAAGAGACAGGCAATTTTGTTTTTCTATTTACGTTATTATGATTGAAAAATAGGTCATGTGATACTGTTTTCAAAATTTTAAAACTAAAATGTCCTAGATAAGGAGTGTGTAAGAACAATATCATTTTGAGGAAAGTTGCACACATATATTACATTGCTTGAAGTATTGCTCTTTTATTGTATACCTTGTTTTGAAAATTGAAAAATATTTGAAGGTATTTTGCTCTCCGCTTACCTAAATATTTTATAAGTCTGTAAATTTTGACAACAAAAGGTTAAACATGACCACTACTATGAATAATATGTAACTTTAAAATTTTATATAAAAGTGGAGTAATATATTATTGCTATATTTCACTTCCTTTGCAAATGTGTATTTTAAGATTTGTCCGCTGCAATTTAAAAAGGAATTCTTGGTTAAAAACATGTACATACTATACTTATGTCAATCAGTACGGCATAAACTCTGTCAGTTTGTACGAGATTAAGTCATTAAGAATATACCTTCCGATAAGTTTTCGAGAAATTGACTGAGATATGCCATATAGAAAAACTTAAAGTACAGTATACAGATATAAAATGCGCGTCTCTAAATGCAACAAAAACAAATATCGATATTGAATATTCCTTCGACTGACTATCAGATTAGAATCAACCAAATTAGCAAAATAGTATAAAGTTGTACATTTTGAAATTGATCAAAGAGCTTTTATTTAATTTTAATTTTGAAATTTACTTATGATAGTGTATATCCGTTCTTAATAATAATTTCTATTTACATTTTTATGCAAATATAATGTTCTTTAAATTAAGTATCCTTTATTATGTAGTTATAGTTATATAGTTAAAATATTTCATGTAGTTACTAAATTACCCCTTTAGTGATATGGAGTACCGACGGAAAGATATACAATTTAAGCTTTAGAAGCTATGAAGTAATTGATGACATTGTTTTTGTTTTTAAATTATCCATTGACTGTTGAGTGTTGAGTTGATAATACAACAGATGAAAAAATAAATGTTTTCTAAGCGCATAAGCCTCAAAACCCCCTTTTCTAGAGGAATACTATTTGCGAAATTTATTTGATGTCGGTAGAATGGTACTAACATACTGAAAGTGAAAAATTTAACTATTGTAGGCTTTGATCAAAATAAACATAAACTTATACCTGCCTTTAAGAAAATCTTAAAAACGAGAATTATATTCTGTATTTAAAATAATACATAAGCATCTGTTCTTATGTGACCGAGAAAGTGAATTGAAGTAAAAAATGGAAAGATGATTCCCATTCAAAGAATATAATAAAAAAAGATACAGGAACATTAAAAAAAAGCATATCGAAAATTTAGTAGATTTCGAAATTTAAAAATATACAACTTCATATTATCTACTTCATTTTGATTTGTAGTGGTTACTGATCTGGGTGATTCAAGCAAAGGTAATGTTAAATATCGTTTGATAGCTCTGTTGCATTGACCACAGCACAGTTGTATATAGTTGTGTCAATCTGGGGATGATAATAGTGGAGAGTCAATAAAGGCATACTACCACCCTACGAAAGGATAACAAATCGATCGATAACAAAAATAATGGCATTGGACATTTTCAATGCCAAGAATACCACTGTTAAAACTTACAAGATCTTAGGGCCCAGTAATTGGCGACAACCAAAGAACTCTTTACCTCTAAAACAATATTACTATAAACAATAAAAATTATTTAAATATAAAATACATATGTATAAATTAAAGCAGGAAGTGAAAAGTAGTACAAAGAAACTTCAGATGGAAACTGTCGACCTTTTTAAAAACTGATATAAAATAAAACTCAAAGAAATCAATTATTATCAACATGTCATATACTAGAGTACTACTTAAAAATGTTTACATTTCAAATAGAACTCTATAGATATAAATGCAAAACTCGTACACATAAAAATGATCAAACAAAGTAAAATTATGCCTCTGTCATACCTCTAACATTGATGGTCATGTCAACTTTTTTGTAGTATTTTATGCCATCGTTATGTTATACAATAGGTATTAGTTATACGCCCCAAGTTTTATTGTATACTTATACTCTTACAGTATGTGCCAAAAAGGATCATTCGTTTCGATCCTGATATATAAAGTATTAAAAGTTTGGAAGTAATCAACTATAAAAAGCTTTTTGGCACATCTTGTATGTAGAGAAGTGCCGTTAGAACGCAAAAAAAATGTTTAACAAAATTAAACTGTCACCAAATCACAAACTATTGTTTTAGATACCTGCATAGCTGTTGGCTATTAAAACATCAAAAAACAATACTCTACCAGCGAGAATGAACATTTTTGATTTGACACAGTTGTTGCTTTCAGACAAATTTATGCGTCAACGGACACTTTCACAATATATATTTTAATTACAATAAAGTATACATAATGTTCGCTTTGATACAATCCGCAAGCATCGGGAGCAGTATTTTGAAGTAGACCAGCGCAATCGACAGTTCCAACAAATTCGAAACATCCTGTAAAATAAAAATAGAAGCCGCACTACACTGAGCCCAATTTCAACTACACTGACATTTCTCGTTTCCTCTTGAAAATATCTGATGAGCGTTCACAGAGTCTGTACTTAAATTTAAAAATTTTTTTTGTCTTTTTCGCATTGTATATTCTATTTTTATTTTCAGAGGGCACTTGATATTCTCTTTTTCCCGCACTCACGTAGAATTCCACAACAGTTTTCATATATAGTATATAATTAAATATGTATAATATATATATAATATAAACAATTGTATAAATTTTAACTAAGAGTTTATGTTTGCCGATAAGTCAATCTCATCACTCGTTGAGTTGCTCTTAATTATATATTTATAATTTTTTTAATTTAATGTAGTCCATCTATATAGGCGCCAAAATCACCGGCACACTTAGTAACCGCTAATCTGCTTCCAGATCCGATCCCGAATCGTCATCATCATCATTTTCTTTCAATGAACAGAAGAATGACGTTAGCTGCTTCATAGCGACACCTGAAATGAAAAAAAAAATGTCAGTACTATATAAACTGGTTTCCTAAATAAATTTCCTCATACCAACAACGGTCTGTGTCATGTACAAGAAAAATCGTATCTGTGTAAACTGACTGAAGTGCGAAAAAATACAATGACTACAATGTATGTATAAGGCGAAGAACTGAACATATATGACTAACATATATACATTGGATTAAATATTACGCTTCGGAAATTTTTGTTATCTATTAATTTGGCAAACTCGCAAAACATGAATTATTAAAAATTGCAAAAATGAACAGAGAAGAGAATGTGTATAGAATTGATGATAGACTAAGAGATAACGGTCATGTCAAGTGTTGAGACTACCTCCTTAGCACTGGTAATTCAACGATATTGAAATCATTTGGGCAAACTGCAAGTCATATTACAATAAGTATATTGGGAGAGATGGACACTCTGATAGTACTGTTATAAAAATGTGGAAAGAGACACTAAACCAATGTAACACAGCAATTTGGGAAAAACATGTGACTCTCATGAAATTATTAAAAAGTGGTATATCAGAGAAAATAATATGGTGACATTGGTAATATGAGTAGCTCAGATTCTGATTAGAAGAAGAATTAATTTTATGATTGTATGAGATGCTTTAATAGATTTCTTTATTTGAATTTTATTGTGTAAATTTTTGTGTGTACATTTTTTTTTTTCAAATATAGTTTTGATAAGTTTAGTTTTTTTCAGTTTTAGTCATTTTGTAGGAATAATACCCATTATGGCACAAAACTCTTCGATCTTGGTGTTTCAACAACCTGTAGGTTTGCGAAAGTTGAAAAATCACGTTCAAAATGATATGTGATTATGTTTTGAGCCTTATATTTAATTCGTCAGATTTTCTGGTAACATAATGTCTTGTTACTTTAACCTTTGTTTTTGATAGATTAGTAACACCATAAATCTTTTCTGTTTTGTTTTAATTAACACCAATTATTTTGCCGTTGAACATTTGTTTGAAAATATGTAGGATTAAATAGAGAAGGACATGCTGAGAGCAGTCAGGAGCAGAACAGAGACAAATATGCTGTTTGGGAATAGGAAGATGTTGAACGGTGTAACAGTGTAATGATCATAGCCGTAGCAGTGTATTTTTTCTTGGGAACTATTGAAGTATTCAGAATTATATCTGTTACATTATCATTTATAGTAATATTTCATCACCATAGCAATTCTTGTGATAATGGTGAAATTTCAATTAATGAAATCAAGAGTTGATTTTCCATCAGTCACACTTTCATCAATTGATAATGATTAATGAAAACTTTATGTCTGTGAATAATATACAGATATTTGAACTTACCTTTACCCTCTTGTTCTAATGGATCGTCGCTTTGTTCCCAAGCGACAAAACTCTCTTGAGAGCAACAACCTACTTCATAAATTCTATCACATATTTGTAGTAAGAGACCTAAAAACAAAACAAAGTTAGTAAATGTGAAATCAATTAAAGAAAATATGAATATTTTGTAATTCATTATAAAAACGTTTGCTATAACGCGAAATTTTTATTATTTATCTATATTTTAATAGTTCATTTGCTTTTCAGTATGCTAGGTATATACCACTCGCTAATTGCGAAATTTTTATTATTTACTTATATTTTAATAGTTCATTTGGTTTTCAGTATGCTAGGTATATACCACTCGCTAATTGTGTATGGTCCTTTACAAAATAGCTTTATCAAGTTGTGAATTATGACCTTATATTTTATGTAATTTTTTTTATATAATAGTTAGTATTACATAATTTTCTATTCTGATTTTCTATAGGCATACACAATTTTCATTTCGATGTTTATCAATCACTACCATCTAATTAACTATCAGTTTTGTTCTTTATAATTGAACTACCATCTAATTAACTATCAGTTTTGTTCTTTATAATTGAGTCAGTGTTTCCAAATATAAAAACATAAGTCCTCTTAAAGTTTTCAAAAATGTATTCTGGATTTAGTGTCATTTTCTCTTCATAGTTGCACACTATGTACGTACACAGTTAAAAGTTGATTTATATATTTTCATCTATATATCCTTTATTAATTTTTTGTTAAGTAAAATTCTAATAGTAAAAGATATTTTATAAATAAAAAAATATTTAAAGCAGATATTACTGAAAATGAATGGTTTAAAAGTTTCTCTATTACTTAAATGATGATCCATATAAGAGACAAAATTGTTAGAATTTTCAAAAATATAAGACAAATGCTTACCCCCAGGATATTCCATTTTATTGTTTAGAGCTTGAAGGGCATACAAGCATTCAAGTTCAAACCCAGGTTTGTTATCGACATACTTGTGCAACAACGGAAAGTGTTGATCCAATCTGTCAATAATAGGTTTGTTATTCTTGTTTATCGAGTCTTCAAAACAGGCCATCGCCAAAGCCCTGATAAATTTATTTTCTTTAACACCATTCTCCCCTACATTTGCCTAAAAGAAAAGTAATGGTTATGGTTAAATATTTTATACACTTATAAATAAAAACATAAAATGCTCAAAAAAATGAAAATGATATATGTTTGCATCATTTAACATAAATTTAACAATGTCTGAAAAATTGTAAGCCAAATGCCCAATAAACGCATTTTTTAAATTATAAGTAAGACTTAATAATAATAAATTAAGAATTTACACTAGAAACATTTCAGTTTTTGTATAAATCAACAATTAGATCATTCAAATTTTACTTACCATTACCCAATCGTGGATATCATCAATAGTTTTATCTGCCCTAAGTAAATTCAGTAACTTTTCCTGAATATCATCGTAGGATAATCGACTCTGATCTACTGATGGTGCCGCTCCTCCCAACAAGAATTCAAATTGCTAAAAAATAAAAAAAAATTAGGTATGGTTTTCCGAAAGTAAATAAATTAAAGCTAAAATTAAGTGTTTATTCGCCGCTTATATTCATAACAAAAAATTTTATTTTTTAAAAAATATTGAAAGATGCAAAAAATACTAAAATACCTATGAAACAAAGTAGCAAATGCATTTACGTAACATATTTCGATCATGAAAAAACAAGTGCACACAGGATGTTAAAAATTTAAACTTTTATACAGAGAAAATAATTGAATAAAAAGGTTTTATTTTTCATGCACAGAAATATAACAAGTCTATTCGAGAATCGAAATTGTAGGCAGTAAATTCTTAAATGTAACATGACGTTTCAGCGCTATTGTAGGTCTTCCAATGGCGTACGAAAAATTTCATAGGAAGTTAAGATAAAGCTGCTCGTATTGAAGAAATAATTTTATATTAGTACGTACTAGTTAAACCTCCGTAACACCGCGATTGTCTATGAAAGCCGGCAACTCGGGGATTCATAGTAGATGTAATGCATTTTGACAAGGGCTATGAGTCATGCTGATGCAGTACACAAGTTTACTTGTTATTTACAAGGTCATAGCTCTTGTCAGAATCCATTACCTATAAATATTTTACATTTTTTACACAGTAGTCTTTAGTCTTCACGACAGTAGAAAGTCATAAAATTGTATTACCTCTTTCAATATTCTAAAATCGGTCTAATTATTTCATTAGATTATTAAAACAGTGAACACATATTTTAGTATTTTGAAAAATAAGGCTATTATCGAGCACAAGTTAATTAAATCTAGCCCAAGTACTTTCGCTTAAAATAGCATCTTCAGGGGCATTTCGTCAAATATCAACTATCCGGCAAGCGTAGAATGTGGAAACATTAATAATGACATAAAATTGTACAAAACACTACATTAAAACGAGGACAAACAGTTTAAAATTACTTAAAAGATTCTATGCTACATTCTTTGTCAGTATCTGGAGGGATAATCCATTATTTAGTTTTAGTGTAGTGTTTTGTACAATTTTATGTCATTATTAATGTTTCCACATTCTACGCTTGCTGGATAGTTTATATTTGACGAAATGCCCCTGAAGATGCTATTTTAAGCGAAAGTACTTGGGCTAGATTTAATTAACTTGTGCTCGATAATAGCCTTATTTTTCAAAGTTCATTTATTCGAGCATTCAACCTCATTTCAATTCAATCAAACATATTTTAGTGTTGTGAGCAATATGAAAGGCAAAGTAAACGATGCCCAAATTTTTTTATGAGAAAAAAAAACTATAAACTTATAGAATACACCAGGAACCTGATATCGTAAAACACATTAAGATAGGACGTCTGAGGTGGATAGGGCATATAATGCGGATGGAACAAAATGACCGAGCTAGAAAAACGCTCCTTGATAGACCCGTTATTCAGAGAAGAAGAGGAAGACTCAGAACAAGGTTACTTGATAACATTGATGAAGACATGAGAAATATGGGAATACTTGCTTGGAGGAGAAAGGCGGTAGATAGAGATGACTGGAGAGAAATTCTTGAAGAGGCTAGGTTCTTGAAGAGGCTAGGACCCACGCAGGGTTGTAAAGCCAGAATGATGATGATGAGAAAAAACTATTATACACAGCGTGTATTAAGGACTCAGTGAAAGGAATCAAAGTATTAGGTCAATGTGACTTCAGTGTCGATGAGAACTGTTTACAGAATTCAAGAACATTTAAACAAAGTGAAGGCAAACAGATAATGTATCTCTTGAAAACACTGAAACCAGAGGTAGAAAACGCATCCATCTTAAAGAATACACCAAATATGTTATTGAGAGAAAATTCCAGGATTTCTTTTTTCGGAACGAAATCCCAACCTTAAAGAAAGTCCTACAAATTCTGATGATTCAATACTTAAAATATCACGTGTTTTATTGAGAACATTAGGGCAAATCAGTGTTCTTATAGAAAAAGATGAAATTATCTTGTGGCATTACTTACAAAAATCCGAGAGTATTGTCGTGAAAGGCGGAGGAGTGTACTATTTAGATAAAATTTAACTGAATTAAGGTCATATTGTCTAAAAGGTATGTCAATATTGTGCAATTAAAAGTCGTCGACAAGCCTTCAATGAAAGGTTTTCAACAGGTTTAAAAAACACCAGTGGGTAAAGGACAGAGGCTCATAACACATATATACAGCGATTCGGGTTCTTTGGACAATGGCTTATAACTATTTAAATCCAAGAAAACCAATAATTACCATTGGGAAATGCACGCTTAAAGATTCATACCACAATCGACGATTGTAGCCAACACCAACAACTGCCTGGCGAAACGGTGACATTATCAACTGGCTCTCTCAAAAAAATACCATTCAATGACAACATGTTAATGACAACATGTTGAAAGTACAATTATTAAATCTCGCAAGGATGCATATACCTGAATTCAAGAAATACGCCTCCCTCCTTATCATTGTGAGCTGAACCGTATCGAGCTTATATGGACTCAAATATCAAAAGCAATTTGCAAGAGTTTTAAAATGGATGAGGTGAAAAGCTTGTTATCCATAAAAATGTCACACAGAGTCTTGGAAAAATTGTATAAGACGCACTATAAAAGAAGATAGAATGTGGAATTTAGACACAAGATTGGATATTTTGGTAGAACCATTAATAATTATCAATGTAAATAGTAGTATTCGCGACAGCTCTTCATCATCCAATGAGTTGTCTTCAACCGATGATTAATGTTTTGACTTTCTGTAGAGGTCGGTCAAATTACTTCATCAAGATTACTTTCATAAGCAAGTTTATTTTATTTTTCCACGCATTTTTCAAATTAAAATACGTTTTCTCAACTCCAATATACTTTACTCAGTTTAAAAAGTTCAAGAAGTCTCATAATATATAATATATTAAGATTAATTTTTAAAATGCACTGGAACAGTGTGAATGATACACTACTAAATGCTAAACTATGAAATCAATGAGCAATTTATGAGTATATTATGGCAACACTGATCTACTATTGCTTTCTACTGGTCCCTTTGAGTAAATCAACTTTCAAGTTGTGATGTATGACTTGTAACACAGAATATTATTTTTTATTTTTCTTTATATAAATATAATATTATACATAAATATCAATGTTATTAAATACATTTTATTAGATACCTTAACGAACACAAAATGATCATTAATCTATGATAATTTTGCTGCATGTGAATAATTAAAATATATCCGTAAAATAGTTTCGAAACACAATTCAGATTTCTGCTTTAATCTGTGCTTTCTAAAAATTGCAAAGCAAAACAGATGTTGATGAAGGTGTTAAAAGAGACATGGGGAATCTAAAATTCGCATTCCATGACATGTCTTTTCAGCTAAGCAGAAATCTTTGGCGAATTGGTTGCTTGTACAGATACATGGGCGCTGTTTGCGTGAAATCAAATATTTGCTGTCTTTTTCATTTTATTCGGATCTACTCTGTACGAGTACAAGAAACCAATTCGCTAAGGATTTCTGCTTAGTTGAAAAGACATGTTGTGGAATGCAAATTTTAGATTCCCCATGTCCCTTTTAACACCTTCATCAACATCTGTTTTGCTTTGCAATGTTTAGAAAGCACAGATTAAAGCAGAAATCTGAATTGTGTTTCGAAACTATTTTACGGATTTATTATCAGATGTCGCTATTGCGTCCATATCGAAGCCATTTTAGTGTTGCTTCAGAAAATATTGATCTTTCATGTTGAGAACACCTATGAATAACTGTTCTGATGAGAGCTATTAGGTTGAAATACGTATCAACAGATACATAGGCGCTGTTTGCGTGAAATCAAATATTTGCTGTCTTTTTCATTTCAAATTAAAATATAATTTAATCGACTATCTATCACCACAAACTGGCAAGGATGTCGACGATTTATAGTATTAACATTTCTGAGAATCTTCTGCCTACAGATTTGATCCTCAACTATAGAAAAGCTGGAAGCCATCTTTTAAATAAACAATAAAGCTATAAAATAAGAGTATAATTAATAAGATACTTACATTGTCGTTAATGAATGATTCTATCTGTGCAGTATCCATAAAATCGACTAATTGCAAACCTGACAACTGCCACTGACTATGTAGGAAATGCGATCCCTTATTACTAATAATTAGTTTAAATAGTGGAGCCAGCAACTTATCAGCTTGATTCAGCTCAATGAGTATGCTGAACGATTTGTGCAGCCTTTTAAGTGGGACTACTTGTTCGGTAATTAAATCAACTAAAACAAAATAAAATTGTAGATACCTTTTTCTGGGGACGCTAGGTGGTACATATAAGTACCACCATAAAACTAAAAAGAACTAGTACGAAAATAATGATGTAATTTTTTTTTGTTAAATTATATTCCACAAAACTCAATTCTTACTAAAAAAAATATATTTATGTTTGCCTGTTAAAGGAATAAAATTGGAATTCTAAAATCCTTGTGAATTGAAATACTTGTGAAATTGAAAAATCCAATGTTTTACAGATTCTTTGAAAATTAGTCATCGAAGTTCTACTCCTCAGTAGTCTGAATGCCTGGTCATATTGGTATTGAAAGGAATGATAAAGCGGACTACTTGCCAGAAGGGCAAAAAAAACATTCTTGGGCTCAGGACCTGTCGTTGGCATAGTAAGAAGCACAGCCAAAAAACATTATCAGACTGAGTGGAATGGATGAAACATAACCACTGATACAAACAAATGGGTCTTACATACTCGAAGGCTGTTATACATGAACTTGTGATGAAGAGATAATAAGATAATAACGGACAGATAAGTAGGTCTCCTAACAGGACTGTGTCGCCTCAAGGGACACATGAACAAAATCAGACTAACAGAAAATATGAATTGCAGAATCTCTCAGGCTGATGATGAGATGGAACACATTCTGTGCAACTGACCAGGGCTGGATAGGATAAGGCTCAATACATTAAAGCATTACCAATTTGAGTCCTATGACTTTGTGTAGAAGTGTCACCTATGGTCATAATAGACTTAAAAAGGCCAGGCTGAAAGGACAGCTTTAACCTAGGGATGAGCCACAATAAACAGGTCGAGTGGAAGGGTTGTAAAGCGCTCACTCATATTGAAACTAACCTAACATCTACTCCTAGAGAAAAGGATTTGACAATTTTGAGAAAACTTTTAGTCGTGACTCTAAATTTTTAGTTTCAATCTTAATATATATGATAAAACACAATATACTGAGTAATATAATCTTCTTCTTCTTCTTGTAGTGCCTATCCGTTTCGGATGTTGGCGACCATCATAGCAATCTGCACTTTACACACTGCTGCTCTAAAAAGATTTGTGGTTGTTGTATTGAACCACGTTCGTAGATTTTTCAGCCAGGAAATCCTTCGCCTTCCTGGTCCCCGTTTTCCTTCTACTTTTCCCTGCAAGATTAGTTGCAGCAGTCCATATCTTTCGCTGTTCCTCATGATGTGACCGAGGTATTCGATTTTAGCTGTTTTTATTGTGGTTAACAGCTCTTTTTCTTTTTTCATTCTCAACAGAACACCCTCATTAGTAACGTGGTCGGTGTACGATATCTTCAGGATGCGACGATAAAGCCACATTTCAAAAGCCTCAATTTTCTTGCAGGTGGCGTCTGTGAGAGTCCATGACTCAACTCCGTACAACAGTATAGGAAAGATATAACATCGTAGTAACCTGATTTTTATGGGCATTGATAAATCATGACATTTGAATAACTTGGCCATTTTTTGAAATGCAGATCTTGCTTTAATATAATAACTTGCAGTAATATAATAACTTCTATAATAAAATAATAAAAAAATAATAAAATAATTCTTGCAGTAATATAATAACTAATTAATATTTATTAATCCCATAAAATAAAAACTTACCTAAAATTTCTGCTAAATAGTCCCAAAGTTTTGGAATATCAATTCTCAGATCGTCAGCTTGTGATAGCAATTCCTCCAATCCTTGACAATAATCTTCTACTGATATTTTACCCATTCCCACTAACTTGGCAAATAATGCGCCCGTTTTTAATCTCACTTGTTGAGATTTTTCTAATACATGTAAATATGTGTCATTAATCATACTAGGGATGTACGATAAAGGTACACACGAACTAATATCAGCGAAATATTCGTCGACATTGCTATTTCCGCTAACGTATTCGTCCGCACAATTGAGTATTCGCCTATACCGTTGGTCTTCGCTGAGTTGTACTTCTGGAACCGCTGCAACAGCCGAAACGGACGGCGCTGGAGTAACTGCCGATTGAGGTGGTAACATAGTGGGTGCAGCTGCTGGTATGTTACGTTGCGACGACGATGAATTTCTTCCTTCGTCCTTCGATCTGTGTTGCGAGCCAGACCGAGATCCACTTCTACTATCATATTTATAACTACCCCTTTCCATACTTGCGCCTTTCGAATGATAAGAGTCTTTTTGACTATAGCGAGTATCTGAAAATAAAAAGAAAAATTAATGCTTTATATTTGAATTGTTTCTCATCCATTGTTTTAGTTAATTTCCCAGAAATCTTATTGGCGACGTGCAAGTACTTGGATGTGATACGAGAAACGATCGTGCGCGAGTAGCGGAGAAATCTTGCATTTTTTACTGCACATTTCTTAGATTTCATAAATTCATATTGTCAAAATTGTCATATTTCATATTTATTTCTTTATTTACACCTTCGGTCACTGAATAAAATGGGATTAAGTAAATGCTGTGTTATAAATTGTAAAAATACAACAAAAAATTGTCAATTTAAGTTTTATTCGTTTCCAACGTCCAAGCACAAATTACTACAAAGAGAAAAGTGGATTTATATCATAAAAAAGCATAAGTAAATAACATAGCCTAAATTATGCATTATTCTTGCGCCCGATTTTAAAGTCAGTTTGAAATAAATAATAAAAAAAGTTCACTTTTAAGTGAAAATTTTAGTTTCATAACACTCACTTAGAGTTCATTTTAACCCAAAAATTAAGTTTAATGCTAATGTAACTTAAGTTTAGCTATGTATTACATAGATTTGCCCATTTTTTTTTAATTCTTTCACATTCTTAACATAATTTGCCACTACTAAAGCTTTTCCATTTGACTCAGCGCTTGGTTGAAAAGTTATTTGGTGATTTACTTTCTCAAATCCAGTTTTTATTATTGCATCCATATTAACAGTAACGCTGTAATTTATTAATGTATTTATTTGTATTTACACTACATACAACGTTTACCTTTTAATAACATACCGACATAACCTCAATCTTACTTTTCTTCTTATTCTTTTTTGGGGCTACGTCCTTGACAGTTATCCGGTAACTTCGATCGAACATGAAAGCGCAGTAAATTTTGTTGATTTACGACACCAGGTGTCGCTCTTCCGAACTTGCACGATCCAAATATCCATCATTGTTATGCCTTCTTTCACATGTTCCCTTCATAAAATATCTGTTCTCCGTCCATTTGTACCCATATCATCATATATATGGTATCATATATGGTTTTGTGGTTCTATCTATGTTCTCATTTTTTGTAACATTTTTATATTACGTCTTTGTTGTATTATCAAAATGTTTAATAGTTATACCATCCACGTATTTTGTTTTTCCTCTGTGGATTTTAGTTCTTTATCTTGAAGCTTCAATTTACATGTCTAGGTAACATGCTTTAAAAAGCCTTTATATATGTCATGTCATTCTGTTGTATTTTTTGTTCTTCATATTCTTTTTCTCGTTTGTATGCCATGTTTTATATCGTATTTTATATTAATTTCTTGTTACTGTTCTCTTCTCCCATTGTTATGATTTGATAGTTGCATATCTATCTAGTATTGTTTACTTAATAGAATGATGGCTTTCATTTCCTATTTTCAAGTCATTCATCTTTTTTTTCTTGTTGGTATTGGTGCTTCGGCAGTTTCTTTGAACTAAATATGTCCAATAAAATTATTTGAAAATAAACTTGGATTAAAGAAATACAATTCTAAATCCAGCTTAAAATTTAAATCAAAACGACAATAATTCAAAATCAAACATTTTTTTTATCAAGAACACCCAACTATAGTCAATATACTATACAACTATACTTACTTATGGTATTACGTTTTTCGGATTCCAAATTTTCTAAAGTACTATAAATATTGGCAGTGGTAGGAACTTGTGGTATTGGCTTTATGTTAGAACCAGCGCCAGTGTTCCACTGTTTGAACATATTTGGAGCGCCAAGAGATGGCTCAAGAGGCTAAAAACAAAAGTATATATTATTAAGTATTATGGACATTACGAAATATTCCTGACATTTAACTGTATAAATATGAATGTTGTGTCTTCAGTGTTTCATTTAGAAGTAATCAATGAATGTTCAACCACTTCTGTTGCATCACAGAAATTTATATACTTCCTTAACACACCAACAATAATATTAAAAGTGTTATTGAGGTACTTGGCGGAAGATTAAATGCAATTGTTATGTTGTGTTGGACATTTTATCATAATTTAATAACAAGTGTTATTGTAAAAAACATGTTTTTTTAATATTTAATAAAATAATACAAGATATAATTGGCCTTCTATTTTCTTTCTGTTGTCAGTCTTGCTGTGGACAAATCAATTGGCAGTATTCATTTGATTGTTGTGCTTCAAGCATCGCTTCTATTTTCGTAACTCTCAGTTAATCTACACTTTTAATAGACTTATTTTTTTGCTGTCAATGTTTCAACTGTTACATTTATATAATGAATTGGTGGCACATGCGAGTCCATTTCAAACAGGTTTGTAGAAATAAATAATAGACTTACAATCTATTTATCAACTTAGGACTACTGGTTTCGACCACTACAGTTTACTGGTCTGATATTGGTAGTAAGTTCAATTAAAATGATACTGGTACAAGGCTTGTTGTTAAAAAGGCGTATATAAATGAGCGTTTTGTACACGTTTAGGCAAATCTGCCTGACGCCCAATTAACATCCATTCAATTTAAAAGAGAAGTCTCAAGGAATACCCCCATCACCACTTGAGCATAGTGGGGTACGCCTTTGTCGTCATCCGACAGCTGATGTAGCAACGTAGTGTCTGCGCATACGCGGCGACTTGTTGCAATAGTAAATAATATAATAATTACAGTATTTTTTAAGTAAGCGACTCCAGTATAATTTTGGATTCAGATCCAGATATCTCAGATAGAGATATTTAACATAATTTTATAAAATTTGTTATTTTAACTCTTTCTCTAAAACTGCTTTATTTGATTGAGACACATATTATATAAAATACACATATATTAAAACAAATATAAACTATAGCACACTCTGGAGTTTTTGGATTCATATTTCTATCAGTCACCTTATACAGCAGAATGAAACAGGTATTATAATAAGTAGAATTATAGTTTGGCCATAAATAATATTAATACCTAAACTCAAAAACCTTTCAACTGAAAATCTGGGTTTCTGATAAGTTTAAAAACTCTCAATTACCTTAAATAATTTATGTGAACTAAAAGTCAATAATTTTTAACTCATACCGCATGGAAAAGTTGTGACGTAATAAAATAAAAAAATATATTCTTCGCCAATTGACTGCTATAAACAGGTTTCTGTCCACACTGTAAAATTTGAAGATTTTTGGTTGAGAGGTTTTGGAGTTAGGTATCGATATGCTGATAATAATTGGGAGTAAATAATATTACAGTGAGAGAGGAGTATGCTCTTAATACTGACATCATCGGCAGAAACTGATGCAAGATATCTGATAATCAGTACCATCATAAGAAAAGCAGAAGAAGGATCTCTACAAATATTCCAACCAGCATGAACGCTACACGCTGCACTGCTTACAGTACTAGAAGATTTCATATTTGAAATCCAATGTTACTATGTCATCAGATATTTTATCACTAGGTAATTTTTTTTTAAAAAGAAATATTTTCAATTTGTTGAATGTCGTTTGGGTTATTATAAATAATAGAAACAAAGAAAATGTATGAATCCAAAAACTTCTATACAAATACCTAAAACGAAGGAAAATAAACTTACCGCCCTTGCACCTTTTAATTTATCACTCTGTACCATGAACGAAGCCTTGCTCCTGTTATTGCTCGTATTCGTCGTCCATCCATCATCGGTAACATTTCTCGATCTTCCCCCCTTTCTATCACTCATTGATCCTCCTCCAGGTCCACCAGAACCACTACCTCTATCATCTTTACGTGGTGTGATTGGACCAGAGTTCATCATTTGTATATTAAGCTGTTCTTGTTCAGCTTCTTTTTGGATTTGATCAATCATTTTTGGATTTACGTCTTGCCTTCTAGGCACCCATTTTGCTGAACGCAGATCTATCACATCCTAGAAATAATTCATCATAAAGGTTTTATTTTTTTAAATGAAAAAACAAAATAAGTATGCGACTCTTAAATCCGTCGGCATAAATTTCCAACTAAAAAAAAAAGACTTAACAATATCGATCCAAATAAAACTGCACTAGTCAGCAGAATATTTTTTTCTAAATATATTAGAAATTAGTTTTTTACAAAAAAGTATTTATAAAAATAACGAAATGTACGATTAAAACAACTCATTGTTTCTGAAAACTCACTGTACTTTTAATTTGATTAAAACTCACCTGTAACATAAATCTTATCCGACTACTAATTTTACTATTTGGATCTTTCTTATTGGCTATACTCTTCATTTGATCAAAGATGGGTTCAAGAGGAACTTGTTTCGTTTCCAATTCTTTACCAATAGTTGTAAGCAACTTGCATAGGCACTCCAAGCGTTCTTCGTCTCTCCTAATTAATAAATCATTTATGCACCTCGTCATTATGCCAACTGTAAGCATGCTTTGTTTAAAAAGTTCGCCTGTAAATAAAAAAAAAATCTTGGTTAACACTTAAATAATTTACTTTCTTTTGAAAGTATAATTCAACTGAGATCAGTGTTTAAAAGTGTCCTCAGAAATATTCAGTCCACTACTTTCATAATACATCATGTATAAAAAATTAACTGAAATGATACACAAAACTGAGCTGTTTATTGCACAAATGATCAATAGGACAACATACTTACACACATGAAAAAGTTTTGGACAATTTAATACATGAAGAATATGAAATGAATAAATTCTGTAAACCCAATCATTAATATGAAAATATTGAGAATAATAAGCAAAGGCAAAGATATATTAGATATAGAAAAAGAACAGTTTGCTATCATCATGGGAAATAGCTTTATATAAAGTTGTGCTTGAACTGATGGTATGGTTCTAATACCAGATGTATGTGCCAAATGTACTGAAGCATGTTATTTAAAATGAAGGACTCAATATGCATTTTAAGAAATAAAATTTCCAGAAACTTGGTAACCGAAAGTATCTGGCAATTATTATAAACATTTAGATTATGACATAAAGAATCTTACAAAGTCAAATGCATGGTGTTTTTTTTTTGAATAGTCAAATGTAATAAAAAGTTTGTCAATATCTATTTGTAACGCCTCCCTACATGCAGTAGACAGCAGCGCCAAGCTTTGAGTCAACTTTAACCATCATACATTAAACATCCAGTACAGTATGTGCAGAAATATGCTGATTATAAAAACTGGTTAGAGAAATGTTCATCCCTAATTTAACATCCTAAGGTCAAGGAAAGGTTTGGAATGAGTTGCAGGCCTTAGCACAAAATAGAACCCGATGGCGCGTTTTCACTGAAGCTCTATGCTCCACTTATAATTTAACAGCAATAAGTCTCCTAGTCATAGATAATACTTCATATTACAATCTACAAGAAAAAACTAAATACTGAGTAGTTTCTTTGAAATAATTAACCTTTAAAAATAAAGCAAAAGGGGTCCAGAGGAAACTATTTAAAAATTTAAAAGTAACTTTAAATGTATTTTGTATATTTTATATATGAGGTTTTGTTAAATGAAATAAAACTAATGTTAATAACATATCTTGAGGTTTTATTGGGTTGAGTTTACAGAAAATACAAGCTGATTATAGCCGCAAATGTCATACATGGAACAAAAAATTTCAGTATAGCAGTGTTGGCATGTTTTTATAATGTAGATGCTATATGCTTCGGATATAAAAAGATAAAGCTTTAGAAAAGTACATTTTGTTTATATTATGCTATGAATTGTACAATTTTTGATTTATATAAAACAACAATGAGTAAATATTTGTTTCTTTGGAGATTAATTGCATTTAATTATTAGAAATTTTTTTAGCAATTACTCTCTGATAGATTAGGTCCTAATCATTAGGGGATAAATTTGGCAATCGTCAAATCAGCAGTTGCCAGATTACAAAAGATGTTTGCAATTAATCTAGAAAGAGACATATCTACTCGTTATTACTTCATATAAATTAAAAATTGCAGAATTCATAAAATAGTATAATCAAAATGAAAGCTTTATTTCTTTATATTTGAAGCATACAATATATACATTATAAAAACATGCCGACACTGCCAAATCTAAATATTTGTGACATTTGCGGCTATATTCAGCTTGTACTTTCGGTAAACTCAAACTTTTATTGTAACTAAACCTTTTCAGTGCCTCTTTTTTAACTTTTGACTCAATCAGCAGAGAAGAGCATGATCGGGCGCATCCTTGTTCTTCCAAATACTTTGTGCTCTTTCTTCTAAAAACAACTTTTTTCTATATTATGACAAGCTGTTTATTTACGTTCATTGTTATTACAACTAAAATAGAGTAACCAACAAGCAATGGTACTAACAATAAATGAATATATTATTATAGGAGTACATTAATATGACGCCTACCCAACAAAATGAGGCAGATTTGGAGAAATATTCAAAACTTGTTGAATGTTAATAGGTGTCAACAAACAATAATATATTTGTTTGACTAAATAAACAGCTTTTCTCAGAATATAAATATACATAAATACATTTATTTTAAATGCACATATGTTCTTATTAATAATCCAATATAATAAAGAAAACTTACCTATAAACCTAACATTGCCAACTGATTTCATCCTAAGTCTTCTATCATATTCTTCAAGATCAAATTCTAGATCTTTCTTTTTCTCCGGATCTGTACAAGCTTCAATTTCTTTTATTTTACTGTTCCTAAGAGTTTCATCAGATTTTTGCTTTTCGAATTCCTGCTGGCACTTATTAATTAATAATTTTCGGAACGTTACAAAATCTTGTTTATCTTCACCATGGTTTGAAGGGGTCTGTAAATTTACAATGCACAGTATTAGTCAAATTAGAAAGGCAGTATTTTAAAATCACATGATTTTAATAAAATTCAGTTAAAAAAAGTGACTTCATTATTAATCAGTCCACTACTTTCATAATAGCATCATGTAAGTTAATAGATAATTGTAACAAAACCACCAATAAGTAAATTGCCAAAAGAAGATACAATTGAAAATAAGAAGTGAAAATGTTTTTTCATCTTATATCTATTCGATGAGGGGATAAAGCATTTGAATCCATTTCAGATAAATATTGAAGTAAATAAAATTAATAAATTGAATTCATGAAATATCTCTTTTTCACTACAATTTAAAATATCTGCTAAACCATATAGTATAGACATAGTAGTAGACAATATAGGGTAATGCATTTAAAAATACTGAGAAAATAATGAATTTGTGTGTTTGACTTACTCTGTACAAGATTTAAGAGTTTTACCAAAATCAATATTTTTTTATAAATTTTGACAATCACTTAAACCTCTGGCTACTACAACTGGTTGCTGCTTTTGTATCCCTTTTCAATTATACAGGGTGTTAGACTAATACGATTTTCATTAAACTTTGGTTCATCATCCAGCCTTCTGCATCCAAAGTTGAACATAGGCCTCCCCTAATTTCTTACAGTTCTGTCGGTCTTACTCTTCCTGTAGTCAATTCCCAGTTATTCTTTCGACATCGTCTGTCCATCATATAGGTGTTCTACATCTGCTTCTTCTGTCTGTTTGTGGTCTCCATACTGTAATTTTTTGGGTCCACCGCCCGTCGTTCATTCCGTTCTGGAATGTTCCATTCTTCTTTTAGCTACTCTGATTTTGGTTGCTGTAGCCTGGTTTAAGGAAAGTGTTTTGGGACTGAAAGTCATGATTGGAAGCACACATTGATCTAATGTCTTCTTTTTCAAATAATTTAGCATGTTGTTCTTGAATATGTCTGTCTGATAAAGCTCCATATACGACCTAGACTAAAATAAATTTTCTTTGCAGTCCAGCGGATTGGTTGTCCTTGAAAATTTGGATTTTATGACCTAAATATTTATTTATGAACTAATCCGATTTCACTGCATCCAACTTTTGGATTTTCGTTTGGTACCAAATTTGTCACGTAATGTGTCTTTCCAAAATTTATGTTCAAACCAATATCTTTCTTATAGTTCCAATATCTTTTAAGTTATCTGTTATCAGAACAATGTCGTCCGCAAATCGTAGATGGGAGAGCATTCTGCCGTTGACATTGCTTCCTTTGGCTTCCCACCCCAATTTATTGAATGCATGTTCCAGAACTGACGTAAAGAGTAAGATAGTTAGACGATAAATAAAGAGATAAACGACGTGTCTCCTTTCCCGATTCCTCTTTTGATTTTATACAGTTTGTATCTTCGTGGAGTCTTACGGTAATTTTTGCATTATTGTATATATTCGCGATCAGTTTTCAGTACCGATAATCTACGCGACTTTCCTCCCAACGCTCTCCTTACAGTGTTAATTGGTGGTTTAATAATTGTAATCGCTTTTATGGGATAATTGGGTTGTAACTTGTTAAATACCCTGTATAACACAAAATAACTTTTTATTCTTGTATCAAGAAAATAAAATAAAGAGTGTTTGGTTAAAAAAAATATTTTTGATGTGTTAGTGTTATTGAAGACCCTGTATATTTATATCTAATTTTAAAATGTGAAGCTTACAGGTATCTCTTATTTTTGTACATAATCTTACTTATACCTAATTACCATAATTACCGTTATATCTCTACCATAACAGATATAACGGTATTTGTTACAAAGGTTGATCACCCTGTATATACATTTATTAGTGCGATTTTGTTTTATCATGTAATAAACGAGCTGATAGGGAAGATTATATCCTTATTGTAGAAACACATAGTTAGTTGACTCAATTTTCACATAATTTCTTTACATATACTAAACATTCAAAATGTTGACAAATGTCAACTATATTATATTTAAAAACTTACTTGCAAGAGAGCTAATTGCTGGCACATACTGGCATAAGCTACAGAAAAATTAGGCTCATCGATAGCCTTCTCGAAAACTAAATCAATAACACCCTGTAACCTTCCAGTTGTATCGATAGAAAGGCTTCTAATTTGTTGCAATAATGTTTCGAATTTTTGAGGCGTAAGTTTATTGAGAATTCCTCTGACTTTTCTGTAAAAAAAAAAGATATGATTATGTCATTTTTAATACAATATTGGATATACTTAAAACCTCTACATATCCACAGATTGTGATAATAAGCCAAATTTTTCTATCTGATATAATCAACGTTTATTTCGTGAGATATGTGACAGTATTGTAGTCCTACTATCAATTATGAACACAATATTAAAGATAAAAATTACTCACTTGTACAATTCTTCAGTTTTCTTATCATCTTCAGTTTGGAATTCGCCTTTGACAAGCCTAGCCGGTCGCCATGCGTTTTCCACTTCATGCAATCTAACTTCTTCTCTGACAGATATAGAAACTTTAATTGGGGGTTTAACGGTGCTACCTTTATTGCTTTTACTTCTATCCATTTTACTTCCACTTAACCTACTAGATAGTGACTAAAAAAATATATTAAAAAAACATTCAGATATTATATTGTTTTAGAAATGTTTGGTATGTTTCAGTCCCACTATCAATACCTACATGGAGGATTTAGGAATTATTCCAAAAATGTCATCATTTAGAAATAACAGTAATTGCTCAATTGTACAGTATACTTTCAAGAACAAATTTTATTATTTTGTTTTTCGCTTTACCTTGTCTGATATTGAACATATAAGAGATCTTAATTTTGGACAAATATCTACATTGTGATATTTGAACTCAGTGAATCTTTTGTAATGTTTTATTTGACTATTATGGCTTGAAAATGCAGTCTTTTTATCTAGATCCAATTTATGATTTTTCCCAGCTCTGATTGTGGTGATCTGCATTGCTAGACAAGTACATTTGTACATCTATTTATGAATTTGGAATATTTAACCATTTTAAAGTATATTTCCATGATTCAAAAAAAATCAATACATTTTGAAGTGAAATAAAGAGAAATGTAATTTTCCTGTAACTCAACACATATTCTATTTACATTGAGTTATTATTGTAGACCATAGAAAACCCTATGGTGCATTATTCCTGAATTTCAATCAAATTGAACATCAAGATTTTTAATAAAATGATGCTTGTTTTGTTGTCTAATGAATAGGAAACTTAACTGGTATGCGCGCAAATATGAGTACCAAATCAAGAAGAGTGATTGAAGCCTAAAATAATCTATTGACCATATATTTAAAAGGTCTGTCAGAAGCATAATTACTTATGCTGCGATGAGGAAATACACTTGAAAAAAGTAAAAAGACGTGGAATCTAGACATGTTCCCTCTACAAATGCATGTAACAAATATACCTTCAGATAGATCACAATGATATATCTATCTAGTGAGTTAAATGTGGGTGTATGTCATCTGCATATCTTAACACATTAAACGCCACGTGTTTAAGTTGTATTTAACTCACACCCTGTTTAGACAAGGTGTCATGTGAGCTAAATATAATTCCATAACTATTGAGATTCGCCACTTGGGAGCCTAAAAAATTATTTAAATTTGGTTGTTAATGTGTTAAACCCACTGACCTGACAGAAAATCTGTGAAGTCTTAATAGTTAATAAATAGAAAAGGGGTTTAATGTTCCTAATACTACATTATCAAGAGTCAAGAGGAAAGATATAAATAGATATTTGTAATCAAGAGTATTTGAAAAAAGGCCCTAACTCACAAGATATTTATTGCCTCATTATCTGACAAGAGGAACTACTGAATGTGAAATATACGCCTTGAGTAACCTAGATTGGACCTGGAAGTCTAGCAGGTTGAAACTGCAGTCCCTTAACAGGCGAAGTACAAGTACCATTTTTTACGGGTGTCAGTGCCTAAAGGAAATGGTGCTAAAGAGATTGCTGATAATTTTTTTAAAGAAGGAACTAGTACTCGTTTTATGAAACCATTCTGAAAATCATTCTCAAACAACTCTCGAGTAAAATTTCAGGAAACTAAAATCCAGTAATTACAGATTATTTATCACAGCACTGCTCCCTTAGATACAATCTCTGTAAATGTTACAAAAGAGACAGAGCCACACGAAAATTCTTACAAAATATAGAGGAAAGAGCCCAGCATAGTCTCTGCAAATAAAGGATAACTGTTCTCCAACACCATCAATGCATGAAACATTTTTAAAATCTGATCAAAATAAAAATTAGCTTTGAAAGGGATAATAGGCTACAAATACAAACTTCAGCTATAGTATACTCAAAAGATATTTCAGTTCAAAATGTGAAAAAGTCAATGAAATCAAATGACCCCACTGAAATCTATAGATATCTACAATCTATAAAGGTTCATCATTTTAGGTTCAGTATGTTTAATTAAATAGTCTAATTTCCCTTCACTTACAGTTACTTATTCTCTTGTGATTATAATGATGCAACTTTTTGGCATAATATTTTTTTATTTAAGTTTTTTTTGCATCTTCCAAATATCAGGTGATCTTGAATATAACTTTTTTTTCAGCGATATATCATTTTATTTATAGATAATAAATGTTATAAAGCTTTTTTGTATTCTGATAATTTGGTTAGGTCTTCATTTAAGATATAAATAAAATATATATTTTGTTATAATTTCAAAAATATGTATAACATAATTAGTTTTATTTAAAAAATAATACAACTTACCCCTTTTTGAGAACTATTTCTACCAAAAGTATTAAACGGAGGATTGAAATCAGTTTTACCGCCCATTGATAACCGTCCATCACTCAAACGCTAAAAATATATAAAATATGATATTTGAACTGAACTGGGAAATAAAAAACAAATATTTTTATGATTGAGTTTACCGAAAGTACAAGCTGAATACAGCCGCAAATGTCAACCATTAAATAAAATATTTCGGTTTGACAGTGTTGAGATGTTTTTATAATGCATATGTTGTATAAAGACAGAGAGCTTTTAAAACGTAAATTTTGATACTATTTTATGAATTATGCTATTTTTAATTTATATGAAACAATACCGAGTAAATATTTTCTCTTTCGATATTAATTGCAAACATCTGTTGCAATCTGGCAACTGCTGATTTGACAATTGCCAAATCTATCCCCGAATCTATCAAAGGATTATTGCCAAAAAAATCTAATAAACTGTAATTAATCTCCAAAGAAACAAGTATTTACTCATTCTTGTTTTATATAAATCAAAACTTGCAGAATTCATAACATAATACAGTGGAACCTCAATTATCCATATCTCTATTAACTGTCACCTCTGTTAACTGTCAGGGTCCATACATAAGTTATATTGACAGTAAAAAATTATTCATCAATTCATTTTGTTTGCAAAAAAATTTCCATCAAAGACGATTCTTATTTTAATAGACAATGCACCTGTCCATCTTAAAGCCGGTATGCTGTGGAGTGACGATAAAAATATCACATACTCTTTTCTGCTTGCGCGAATACACCATTGATACAACCAATAGATCATTCGGTTAATAACACATTCAAAAGAAGATACAGGAAAAAAATTATTCAAAACCTAGTTGTGGAAGAGTAATATTCTTTGCCAGAATACTGGAAAGCATACAATTTAAAACATACAGTCGACAATGCTGTGGGGCTGATGTTTCGGAAGTAACGCTGAAAACAGCCTGGAATAAATTATGACTTGAATCAACTTAAGATGAAAATGCTCCCCTTAAACGAAGATATGGCTAAATCAACTGTTTTGTTTTCGTTGATGAGGACGCAAACGGCTATCGATTGCTTACAGACGATGAAATCGTTGAAATGGCAACAGAGGCGGAAGAAACTGATTCAGAAGCCGACTTTGATGGTGGCGACGTTGATGATGCTATTATAACTCACAAAGATTTGCGTAAAGAAGCTAGACGAGCTGCATCGCACATACAACAACTCAAGTGGTATTCTCGGCAAGAAGAAGCAAATAAGGTAGATTTAATGATTTTACGTAAATTAAGAAATTCAGTCATTGCAAAATGTTAAGTAACAATAAAACAAAGATTTCGGAATAATTTAAATCAAATTGTCCCTCTTATATTGTCAAATAAAACATACAAATAAAATTTGAGAGTTATACTATAAATGTTTTTTAATGTTCTGTTAACTGTCTTTTCAGTTATCCGTCATACCCTTAGTCCGGTGCCCTGACGGATAATCGAGGTTCCACTATCCCTTTCAGGCCGCCCCTACACGATCGTGACGTTTCATTTCAAAAATTCCCGCGCATTAGAAACTGATAGTTTCAGGGTCATAGCAGCTCCAAATGATAGTACATGAATCATACTAAGTGTATACTAACGCATCTTCACGTTAATAGACAGTTAAATGTTGTTTATCGGCGAGCAAAAATGTCGGTGTACTTTGATGATGGCAGAGGTCGCAGTAAGTACAATTTTTCACTCATTTTCATTGTAGAAAGATTTAATAATTGAGTTGATAATGTTTGTAAAGGAATAGATAATGTATGGAAATAGTAATTACATACAAATATCTATTTTCACGAGCAAATTTTCTTGATCAAAAGTAAATAAGCACGATCGTGCGTGTCCGTCTCGTATTCACTTTTTAAAAGTTATTTGTTACATGTATTTAAAATGAGGTTTTTAATTTTTTTTTATTTAATTTAATTTTTTATTGTTGCAGAACTCGAGTTAACAGATGAATTAGTTCTGCAGCTTATTGGTGATGGAGATAATTCAGAAGTAGAAAGTATAGGTGACATTGAAGAAGTAATAAAAAGTAATAAACCGTTGAAAAATATTATTCACACCGAAGAACCTTCTTGTTCTTCTGGTAATCCAAATACTGTTGTATTAGGAGACAAAAGTAGTCAAAAACCTACTAAATTAAAACAGAACAGCGGCGTGATCAGTCGAAGAAGGCTCTGGAGGCAAGTGCCATTTATTCAAAAAGATCACAGTTATTCAGTAAGACGGTCATCAGACATCAACATTAGAAATCCACTGGAATATTTCAAAGATTATTTTGATGATGATTTTTTTGAGAATGCTGCTATGTGTACTAATAATTACCACCTTCGAAAAACTGGTCGTGTGCTGAACACTAAGGCAACAGAATTAAAAAAACTCATTGGGGTACATATCATTATGGGTTGTATCCCTTATCCACGATTATACATGTACTGGCGTGACGAAATGCGTTTGCCTTTAGTTGCAAACGTAATTTCAAGAGAAAGATTCAAAATTTTACGTACGGCATTTCATGTCGTAGATAGTAACTCAGCTTTGCCAGGAAATACGAATTCGCTTTGGAAAGTACAACCAGTATTGGATCAAGTTAAGAGAACGTGCTACAGATTAGAAAGAATGCCAGGATACTACTCTATCGACGAACAGATGATCCCATTTAGCGGTACGTGCCCTCGGGGATTGCGACAAGTTATCAAAACTAAACCTAGGCCTCAAGGTTTGAAAGCATTTGTAGCCACTACTCATGATGGACTAATGATTGATTTCGAGATATACCAAGGTATAAGAACTCCATTAGAGGACAAGTCTTTAGGTGTCGGAGCTTCAGTGGTCCTCCATCTTTCAAAATCTATTCCTCCAGGAAGCTGCATTTACTTTGACCGCTATTTTGCTTCCGTACCACTATTGGAACGTTTAGATGTAATGGGATTACATGGTACATGTACGATAATGATGAACCGATTGCCAGAGCGGAATAGTATGGATTTTAAAGCAGATCGAGACATGAAACGTGGTGAATGTCAACAGTTTGTATGCGACAATATAGTTGTTGTGAAGTGGAAGGACAATAAGTCTGTTCTTATTTCATCCAATTGTACATCTTCAGATGAAACTATTAACGTGAAACGCTGGGATAAACAGGGAGCAAAATATATTGATGTTACTGCGCCTAAAGTGATTGCTAACTACAACAAACATATGGGTGGGGTAGACATACTAGATCAATCATTAGAGTATTACCGGACTTTTATGAAAACTACCAAATGGACTCTTAAAGTGATGCTCCATTTTTTCGATTTAGCAGTAGCAAATTCTTGGAGATTGTATAAAATAGAATCTGAATCTTCTGCAGTTCCTAAAAACAAAATCATGGATCTTTTGGAGTTCAGGATGCAAGTAGCTGAAGGGCTTGTTAACGAACCACCTAACCGAAAAAGAAATCACGAAGAAACAGAAAGTAATGAAAACGAGAACCCCAATTCCTCTCCTAAATACAGACGATCAGCTAAACCCTCGGAGGTTAAAAGGTACGATGGATATAATCATTTTCCCACTTTCGATGAAATCGATAATCCTCGTGCATGTAGAATGGAAAATTGTCACAGTCGGTCAAAAATACGCTGTGAAAAATGTAATGTATACCTTTGCTTATCACGAAAACAAAACTGTTTTGCGATGTATCATCATAAGAAATAAATGTAAGGCAACATTTGTTTTTAGGAGAAATGTTTGTAAAATTATTTACCTTTACTTTCCAACTCTTTAAATTAATATAGCTTGCATCTATTTATGCATTTTTATTATTTAATCGAAACCACTAACCTATTAAATACCTAGAAGTCACGATAGTGCACAAACACATTTTAAGCCTGAACGTCACTTTCGTGCAGGGTGAATATCTGCCCCGTGGAGGGGGAAGTATTTTTTTCAATATTTTTTGTGGCCTTAATATAAGGTCCCTTTAACGGCACTAACATTAAAAACCAATATTTTTATAAAAAAGAAGTCAGGCCTGAAAGGGCTATATAAACAAAATGTATTTTTCTAAAACTTTATCTTTTTATATTTGAAGCATACAGCATATACATTATAAAAACATGCCAACACTGCTAAACCGAAATTTTTTGTTCCATGTTTGACATTTGCGGCTATAATCAGCTTTGGTAAACTCAACCTATTTTTATAGTTGTAAACTTACCCCTTTTTCGTCGGGTAATAGTGCATCGAGAATATTGTCGGGTGCTACCTTACTAGCAGGACAGTCTTTTAATGATAATAGGAAGTTTTTGTCATATATTTTTAAACCGTTTTGGTTGGCAGGAGACCATTGGCCTAAAAAAATTAAAGTTGATTAGTATATATTTCAAATCTATAAAAATCTTATATAAATATTGTTTGATAAATTATGTATCTACTGGTATAGTTACTCTAATCATTGAAACAACTGAATAATAAAGTTAAGTAGATTATGCTATTACAATTCTTATATATCTCCTTAATTTTAAGAACAGTAAGAAGATGTTAAGATTGTATAATACATTTCATTAGTAACTGATACTACAATTGTTAGTCATACCAAGAGTATTTCATCCATTTTATCAGTTTTTATATTTCTTTATTATTCCAAATGAATCAGCTATTTTTTTTCTATTTATGATCATATACTATGCTACTGTTGCTTTAATAGTAACCTATCAGACATCAATATGCTTTTGTGATTCCTTCCGCGGCTCCCGATATATACCTGATTTGTTAAAGTTAAATAAAAATTTTAATTTTAATTTGAAAAACTTACCTTCAGCATAGGGTAACTTGCTTTCTACCTTACTAATCTCACTAGTTTTAACATTAACATCATTCTTCGCTTGTACCATTTTTTCATTGGATTGAACCAAGGCAGATCTATCTGTTTCATCTTGTCCTTCTATCGTATTATTAAAAGGTTTGATGTTTTTAGGTTTTTCCTTAACTATATCAGTAATATCCACCTAAAACAATAAATTAACAACACATTAATGGATACTTATTCCGTCAATTAATACCTCATAATCTAGTATTATAAAATGCAATTATTGAGTTTATGAAATTTCAATTTTGTCAGATAAAAACACTAACAATGGGAGCAGTGGGAGAAGAACAATAAAAATCATATAAATAATATCAATAGTTATAGGATTAAAGTCATGCCGATGAGTTATGAGTTTGAAGAAATTGATGAAATCGAGCTTGAGTTATGGACATGGTGTGACAAAGCTGAGCCAGATTATCAGCTACTCAGCAACGACGATAAGTACAAGTCACATTTTTTTGGGTATATGTTGTTATTTTGTGGAAAAAATTGAATTTTTATATATTATTTTAGATATTATTTTGAATACATATTTGGTATTTCAGGATTTGATTAAAACCTTTATAGTTGATTTTCTCAAAAACTACAAAGGAAATAGTTTACAATATATGTTGCAAAGTTTTATGATAAAAGTAGTCATATTGATATACTTTTAAGGTAAGCATTTGCTATAATTTAGTCCTTTATGATACTACATAATTATAAAACAATTAAGTAGCATAGGAAAGGACAAACCATATTACAAGGGAGAAATATCATCTAAACACAGATAAGTATACACTAGTTTTTGTTTTTGGCACTGATTCAGGGTATCTTTTTGTTGTCAAATTTGTTCATTTTAATAAACAACACAGAGAATATAAAATAATGAATCCTTATTAAAATATAATTAAACAATAATTCAACCTGTAAATAAAACAATCAGTTTGGCAATTTTGACAAAACTTTCAGATTCTTCCTTTTTATACTGAAGCATGACTCAAATGCTTGTAAACAGAAAACCAAGCAAGTAGTCAGACAACATTGCCATTCTTCAGTTGTGATTCAACTACATTATCTGCATAAATATTGAATGATGTCAACATACAATAATTATTCTTTCTATGAATGTGTTTTTTATGAACACTTCCGTTTAGGGGCTCAGAACTCACCAAAAAATTGTCTCGATCTCCATATCAAACTCATTTATACAATGTTAAACACAATATTCAATTTTTTTTAACAATGTAATATTTTAAGTAAAAAGAATATACTGCTTTACATAATGGTAACTTACCTTATTCTTGAAAGGTTTGGTAACAGGTTCTTGAGGTTTGATTGTCGTCTCATTATCAAACTTTTTATTTGTTTGGATATTAACATTTACATCTCTAACTACAGGGGGTTGGGTAGGAGTGACGTTGCTATTGGTAGTCGCAGGTATTGAATTCGCATTGATTATATCATTATTGTTATTAACTGTCTGGTTAGGAATCACATTGGAATTGACCTCCTGCAATAAAAAAAACCAAATGACATATTTTAAGAATTCTTCAGCTAATGAAAATCGTTTGTAGGAAGAAAGAAGAACTATTAATTATCTTTCTTCTACCCACTCTACTTTTCTTTAATATAGGAAATTAAAGCACTAGGATATATCCAATATTCTAGAATGCTTATTAACTTGTAATCGCTGTAACCTTATTTCTGTGTACTATCATCATAGCACCCACATGCACATGCCATTTTTAGTTGTTGAATCATTTATAAGAGATTTGTTGAGGTCTATGGACCTCATGAAAAAGCCATTTAATAATTTACATAATTTGTACTTATGTACATATATATTTGTATCCTGCAAACCATGTGATTATAGTCTATCAATCTGAACAGTGAAAGAAAGAAAGAATTACAAGATGTAATTTCATGATTACTTCTGAATATCGTGGCAGACAAATTTTTTATCACCAGAAAATCTGAACCTCAGGCTGATCTTAAATATAAAAACAAATTCATCTACATTGAGCATGACATGTAGTCCAGTCACTAGAATCGAATATAAAGAAAAGTATCATAATTTTTCAAGCAATACATACATAAAAATGAAGTCAACTAAAAAGTTCAGATGGATAGATGGGGTGATGCAAAATGCTGATAATACATAAATATGATAAAAAGAATTATCAATGCGCAACCGATCTTCTTCTTAGAGTGCCGTCTCCCTACGGAGGTTGGCAATCATAATGGCTATTCTTATTTTAGAACTTGCTGCTCTAAACAAATCAATCGATCTCGCAACTGATAGGTACGCACAAATTGGGTACACCCAGTTTGAGGTGAGGAAACTTGGTGGAAACTGGAAAACCATAACAGTGTGATATAAGAAACTTGAGAAGGTTGAAAACTTCTAATACAGTCCTGAGACAATGCAAAGCAGTGGATCTTGTTGCAAATTTATAATTTTGCAGTGTTCGCCTGTACAACTTAATAGTCACTGACACTATCCCTAAATGTTTACTTGCAAAAAAGTGTACCTAATCATAGCCACTTTTATGTTTATGGACAGTTGAGATATGTGCATTTAGTGGAATAACAACCTTTGAAGAGGGAACAGTTGTTTGGAACATAAAAACATGGTTTGGCGTTGTTTTGTTTGCAGTGTTATAAGTATCAAAAGAAGAAGGAAAGAAGTAAATATTAGAAGTAGAAGCTAACTTTACTTTCTGTGTTAAAATAATTCAGAACCAATTTTTCATTTAAACTAACTTGTAAGTACTTGATTACTATTTGTTGTAACCTATATGTACTATATTTTTAAGTGAAAAGAATATTGTAGTTTCCTTAGCGATTGTCCTACAGGAGTTTTACATAAAAAATATAAATTTTTATTTTCCACTCTCGAATAACAAGCCTGTTTAGGGTCAGTTTACAGTAATTTAGTGAAAGAACAATAAGTTGTAGTATTCATGTATAACATACCTAATTGTTTATGAAGAACAATTTTTCTGTAGGATATTCAAAAGAGCATATTCTATTCTAGGCCTTGAAAATATAAATACAGACTTGAATAGTTTCAAATTGATGACGAGCAGGCAGTAAATTCAGATTTTGATGGGGAAAGTGGAGGTAACGATTTCCCACATTTTTTCACAAATGCAAAAACACCAACAATAAGTAATTCTGTAAATATAATAGACTTTGGCAGTGATGATGACTCAGGATCCTGAACATAAACCTGTCATTAAAAAATCTAGAGTAACCAAGGAAGAAGTAAAAAGTGAAATGGAAGAAGATAGTGAAGAAGGAATTAATCTATTTTCTTTTACGAAACAAGAAACAAACATTTAATTTGATTCTTTTGTATATAAATATCAGTTTGATCTGAAGATACCTGCAGATGTGTCGCCACCAATGATCATATTCCTTACAATTTTTGGAGTTTGTTAGGAAAATGTAGTGGAAGAGTCTAACATATACGCATATCAAAATGATATTCACCTTAATTCTAGTATTGGAAAATTCAAAGCTTTCAGAGCATAATCATTATAATGGTGTTCCATCAGTTGCCAGCACTAACTACAATTATATTAATTAGCTAATAACAATTTTTCAGTCACCAAAATTGCAGGAATTATGTCTCTTAGAAGACTCCAGATATTAAGATACTTACAACTCAATGACAATACAATGATGACAGATTCAAACTGGAACCAGATATTGATAAGTTGTACAAAGTTCTGGCTCTTATAAATTATTTACGGGCTATATCACAAAACATATTCCATCATCAGTGTCTAGGTATACATGTATGTAGCCACCAACTATGTGGGTAAAAACCCGTTAAAAATTGTTTAAATTTGTGTTATTGTGTTATTAAAAATTATGATGTTAAAGTTACCAGTGGATTTGGTAACATGGCATAACATCATACTTTTTAATAACACATAATTAAAACTAAATTTAAATAATTTTTAACGGATTTTTACCCATATATTTAGTGGCTACATACATGTATACCTATCTAGACACTGATGATGGAATATGGATTCCCAAAATGTTTTGTGATATAGCCTGATTGGGTTTTTAAATTATATACCTTTTATAAAGAATTTTTGATATATGGTAAACAACCAACTACAGCAACTTTGATTCCTTGTGGATTAAATACATGTTATACAAATTGGAACTAAAGAACAGGTTCAGTGTCCACAAAGTATTGCTGACTACAACAAGAACATGGGTTAGGTTGATTTATTTGATCAGTTGTTAATGGTTTACTCCTCTATTTCATGAAAATCTAGGAGATGGTAGTTAAAATATTTTTCATTTGGTAGATATAGTCCAGTCGTCAGAGAATTGACCCCTAAAAATCATACGAACAAGCCGAATTTTGCAGAAAATATCTTTTTGAGACCCAAAAAAGATGCAAAAATGTTTACCACAAAAATGTTAACCCCCGGCTATAGTGGCTACGAATTGTGATATAAACACAGTATACTGTTTTAACTAAAAAAAAAACACATATTAAAATAAAATTTTACAAAGAATAAAATGAAATTGAACTGAGAACAAAACTTTAATTTTGGATAAAAAGCCTAATTTTTATGAAAAGTTTCAAAACTCTACACTTTTTTGATGCTAAAAAACGCGCATATATTTCATATACTATTTTCAGGAAGGTATCGCCCAGCAGCGCTAATGAAAAGCACTATGCACTTCCCCCTAAAACCGGCCACGCAGGGGGGTAAAAAGACAAAAAAATCGATTTACCAAGAATTAATACACTATAGAAAAACGTTCAATTAAAAAATGTAGCAGAGATAATTTTAAACAAATATGTTTAAAGCATTTTTTGTGTAGAATGAACCGTTCTCCTAGAAAAAACGCTTGAAGCGACCGTACATTTTGCATGTCGGTTACTTGTGCGAAATCAATGTTCAATAAAATTTTGTATTAGCTTGACGATAAAAATTCGATATCTTTTAATCCAAACGTCCTATCGACAAAAATCAAGATGCGTTTTAAAGGTAAAGAGTGCAGCTTTCGTATGCAGTTTTTGTATTTTGCCGACAATAAAATCAGTTTTTATAAAGGTGTTCCATAAATTAACGTGGCGCGATTTTTGCCACTTTTTACGATTTTCGTGAGATCAATAAAATTGATTACTTTCTTTAACGAGTTGTAGTAAAATTTAAATTTTGAGTTGTGGTAACCAATATTTGTAACCATTTGAAATATGAATTAAAAACGCAGAATTTAATGTTTTACATTACAAACGATCACACGTCACGGTAAAAGCGTTTAAGAAGACGGTTTTGAGTGTAGTTTATTGGATAAGTTTTATTCTTTTGAAAAACGTACTAGTGTTTGTTGTGTGAAAGCTTAAATCCAGCGTTTTTTAAGCATATTTCAAATGCCTCACATGTGTTGCCAAAACTCAGAACTAAAATTTTATGCTATGTTTATGATTTATGATTTTATACCTGTATAAAATCTGAGTTTAATTGCGGCAAAATACAAAAACTGCATACGAAAGCTGAACTCTACCTTTCAAACGCATCTTAATTATTGTCTGTACTAAGATATAGAATTTTTACCGTCGAGCTGATACAAATTTTATTAAAGTAACTGACATGCAAAATCGACGGTCACTTCAAGCGTTGTTTCTAAGAGAACGGTAAATTCTAAACAAAAATGCTTATGAACATTTTTGTTTAAAGTTATCTCGGCTACATTTTTTATTTAAAACATTTTTCTACGGTGTATTTTAGTACACTAGCAGTACAGTATTTAGGAGTACACTAGCTAACCTATAATATGAAACTTTACAAGTAGAAAGAGGTCCTTAAGAAAGTGTCACTATAACTAAGAAAAAAAAATGGGAGAGCCTACAACAGATATCTTTTCATTAGCGCTGCTGGGCGATACCTTCCTGAAAATAGTATATGAAATATATGCGCGTTTTTTAGCATCAAAAAAGTGTAGAGTTTTGAAACTTTTCATAAAAATTAGGCTTTTTATCCAAAATTAAAGTTTTGTTCTCAGTTCAATTTCATTTTATTCCTTGTAAAATTTTATTTTAATATGTGTTTTTTTTTTAGTTAAAACAGTATAGTGTGTTTATATCACAATTCGTAGCCACTATTCACCTGCTTTTGTCACGGACAGGAATGTTTTTGTGATTAAATACTTCACTTCATATCAAAAATTCGTTGTTTTTACGAGAAAATATCTGTGCCCTCAGAGCAATTTTTAGTGATTAACCCGTAGAGCATAGTGGTTACATTGTACCAACATATTTGACTGTAAACATTTCTTCAGTTTTCTACTTTTTATCTTCCAATTGAATGTAAAGATAATTGCCAAATTGGTGCTCTTCACCGCGTCTCAAAGAAAACGCCTTATGTTTCAGATTATCTGAAATAAAAAAATGTTCCCTTACATTTTGAATTGATCCACAAAATGAAAGCGTATTTTTTCGTTGAACCCTTCGGTTGATGAACTTCAGGACTATCATAATTATTTAGTGAGACCAGTTTCATTATATATTTTTAACTTTTATGTCTACATCTTCGTTAAAGATTATTTTCGTGTTTTTCATTTTGCTTTTCCTATTGAGTTCAATGCATTTGCTGTACAATCTATTTTCAAATTTAATTACATATGAACTGTAAAAAAAGACAAAAACTGTTTCTACATGTATAATTAATCAAATTATTCACATTATTGACTAATAAAGTTAAGTAGATTATATTTTGACAGTCTATCGCATCTTCTAAGTTAGAGAAAAACTAGAAGATTTCATAAGACTGTATGTAATTTTTTTTAATATCCCGCGTTTTGAAGGATCTAATTATAACTTAAACGAAGAACTGAATAAAAAAAGAAATGAGATTAAAATAAGAAAGAATCAATGAGTGAGAACTTGTGTAAAATGAATAAAATTATAGAAATATAACATAGAAATTATAGGTGAACTCACTTCTCTAAGGGCGTTATCATTAAAGGCATCCATATCAGTTCCTTCTTTATTAGCTCCTTTCATGTTCAATTCATTCTTTTTATTTGATCTACTGGCAGCCTTCGCTGGTTGTGGTTGAGGTATTGGCACCGAGGGTTGGCTTGCCGGTTTTTGATTGTTCGGTCCGCCAGAGGCCTGCTTTGATGTTGACCGTTGAGCATTTTGTTTGGATTTAGCTGTAACAAAGAAAAACGGATCATTAGATCATTCCTAAAAAATAACTTCTTATATTTTATCTATTTTTCAACATAATTTAAACAACGAAAGTACGAACAATAGAAAATTATAGGTAAAATTAGTTAATTTCTGTTTAACAAAAGTTAACTTCTATGTATTTGTCGGAAAACATTCCAGGTCAAAGGTAAGCAAAAGAGCTACTAGAACCTTCTCGTTACGCAAAAATACTCTGGGAACATCAAACTGAACTCATGTTCTCACTGGACACTGCTCACTCAGACATCAGGACAAACCAACATGCAGATTTTGGCGAATATCCAGAAAGATCATTTGTCTACAATTGCAGGGCAGTTGTTCGAAGACAATGTAAGTAACTGGAACACAATCTTTTTATAACCTAACTAATAGCAAATATTTCTCCTAAATGGACACACTAAATGGGTAACAGACTATCACAGTGTCGATCTGTTGAACTAAACATAGACGTAGACCATATAAACAAAGAGTTGCTTGTGGTGTTTTATTAAAAACATTATTAATTTTTATACTGTATACAGGAAACGCATGGTGATGTATGAAATTTAAGTGAAGTTAAGTTTTATTGAAGTTTAATGAAATGAAAAAAAGCGAGTAAATTTAGTCAATAAACAGCAGACAAATACGGGTTTTTATAAGAAAACTCTCATGTTGAAAATAAAATGCCCGACAAGTTTTGATTAAAAATAATGGTGGATACAGTTATGTTAAAAATCTAAAATTACGAAGCTGTAGGTTTTGGATGACGCCGAGTTGAAATATAATGCTGTCCTGAATGTGGCACTGCCGGTTATATCGGAGATATCGTTATTCAATATAGACTAGAATTTTTTTTTTTTTTAATTTTTAAAAAATCAAAATATCTCGAAAGGACTTTATTTTTGGTATAGGACATTGTGCACAAATTTTATCTAAAATTTAATGTAGAATTCGAAAACAAAATAAAAAATGTTAGGTTCTATTTAAAATAACAAAGTTGACGTCTACTTCCGGTATAACCGGAAGCGCCTCATTCAGAATAACATATTTCAAGTCAGCATCATTCATCACATACAGCTTGGTAATTTTAGATTTTTAACATAACTGTATCCGTCATTACTTTTAATCAAAAGTTATCGCGCCACACCCTGTATAATAAAGAGTATCGCAGTATCAAAATAGAGGTCAAAACTAAAATAAATGAGAATAGCATCTAATGAGATTAATGAGAATAGCATCTAATGAGATTAATGAGAAAAAAGGCAAAACAAAGAACTATTCAATTGAGCCATTTGCCAACAGCAAATACAATAAAGAAAATGAAAAACATACATTAACAAATTTGGACTAAAAATAAATGGCAAAGGGGAACCACATAAACAAAACGAGAAAGGATGGGCCAGATTAATTTTTTGATGATACACGGATTTAATCAGGAATATAAAATTTAACAACAATAAACCATTCACTTCTTTATGTTGCATTCTACGAGAATATAGATTAGAGCATCCCTAGTCCTTAAGGGTAGAAAGGAATTGACTCCAAATTTTATTTTGTTTCAAAAATTTTTTATTGTTTTTGGAAATAAATATTAGACATACTAAAATTTATATTTATGAGGTTTCTGTTTCCATATGGGAAGCTATTTTAGATTTTATTAAACAATCATATTAAGGAAAAGAATAAGAGGAATTTGCCAACAATAGTAATTTTTATTAACAATTTAGTTATTTTTTTTTCTTCTTAAGACTACATAAATATTCACGTATATACATGAGTTTTCTTGAAATAGCTTTATGAATTTTTAAATTTAATTATTTGAACACCAACAAGGAATAAATTAATGATATTACGTAAATAAGGTCAGTTCATTCATTAAACCGGGACAGACATTTTATGCTCACCAATTAATATTTAATGCATTAGTTTCGCTTAACAATGAACTGACGTAAGACCTTTATAAGCCTTTTATTTATCCATCAACATACCAAAATTTTATTTTTTTCTGTGACTAAAAAAATGTCTCGACATGTAACATTTGAAAACGGTAATCTGCAAAGTTATTTCAGTTTTAAGGTCGCGGCATATTATCATGCAGGTATAGTTTCCGGCACGTAGCGTTTCCATTCCAGCAATCGGACTGCGCGTTCACATTTTCATACATAGAACGTTTCAGTTTCGCGACAAAAATTATGTGCAATTCCTCTTCTACTTAACGATGAAGAAAGAAAAACTAGTAAAAAGAGGGTTTGAAGTACATTCAATGCTAAGAGAAAGCAAAAAGGAAGGTGAATACTGGACTTTATACCTACAAAAAATTAATTGATGACTATGAAAAATATAATGGATATTTTAGAATGAATAGGATCCAGTTTGAATATATTTTAAATTTATTCACACCTTTAGTTAAAAGCCAAAATACTACATTTAACAAAGCCATACATATCAAACCAAAGAGTATTTTTAAAAAAGAAGAGGTATCACTTCCGTGCAAAAGTCCTAATTGTTCACTTTCTGTTTAATTGTCACAAAGCAATGAACATGCATGCATAAATGACAAAATGGCCTCCAAAAATTATTTTTTCAACTACTCTGTATCAAAATCAAACAAATACCTAAATAAACAACAAGGGGAGAGAAAACGACAGACATCTAATTCACATTATCCATACCAACCGGTTACGACTTGTCCATCGGTGGCATCAGTAAAATATTGTTTTCAAATATACTGAACAGAAACATTAGGTGTTATGATACATTCTGGACAGTGTGTTGTTCATATTTAAAACCATTTAAATTATATTTTTTGAAAACTAAACGCTACATGCTGGAAATGCAACGTGCACGATAATATGCCATGACCTTTACCCGTTTCTGACGAACTACTACTTGTGGCCGGCTAACTGGTGAAATCACCCTATATTGAAATAATACATTTCAATGTTAAATTGTGTTTATAAATATAATGTAATAAATATAAATATTTAGTTAGCGAAATTCCGAATTATGCTTTTTAACTTAATAAAATCGTTTTTATTAAGTTAAAAAGCCAAATTAGAATAACAGGACTCCACTCAATGAAGGTAAAAGTGACAACATATACTACTGGCATAGCTATAGCTACCTTTAATAATGCATAGTATCAAAAATCAATAGTCTATTACTGTTATTGAATAAACCCAACCCAAAAACTTGAATTGAGAATTCAAACTGTTTTAATATCACCTTGTCCCACAGAGACGAGAGGCAAGTTTGATTTATCCTAACCTACATCTAAAATCGCAAACCATAGACATGAATCTTAAATCGTTTACCTTTAATGGAAACATGTCTACCGTGCAAATACATGGGCGTATCTAAAGGGATACACATTTATATTTATTAAAGAATCTCATTCTAAGCGGTTATTGATAGCATTTGTTCACTACGTTATTTAATTATACACTGAAAAATGCAGGAATTAAAAAAGTTTCAGCTAAATACTGTTTAATTAGTTTAGTGACGCAGTATGTAATTTTTAGCGGATGACGTCAGCTCATTATATATTAATAGTAATTGTCTCAAGGAAATGATTTTATGTAGCTGATGGCAAAAAATAAAAATAAATGTAAACTATATTGGGAAAAGGGAATTCAAAATTAAAATCACCACATAAAAAATGACAGGAAAAGTGGAAAACAAGTATCTAGGCCTCCTCTTAGATAATACTAATCTGAGGCAAGCATAAAAAAGGGGTGATCGAAAAGGTTAAAAAAGCACTGATAGTGTGCAAAAATTTTAAGAAAAAAATGTGAGTTGTAACCCAAAAATACAAGGTGGATATACACGCCAATAGTGAGATGAACTTGCAGGGCAGTGAGGTCAGGAAGTGGAGCCAAACTAAGCAACAAGAGGAACAATACCACAAAACTTCAAATATTAGTTTGTGTATGCATAACAGGTCCAATGAGAACAATCTCGCGAAACTTTAGATAGTCTGTGCACGCATAACAGACGCGATGAGAACGTGAACGTGCTCAACGGCTGTCATGGAGCAATGACTTCCCACAAAGTGTGAAATCAAAGACCATATAGGATTATACTTGGAAGGAGTAAGACAACCAAAAATATTTCTTCTTTTAAGTGTCATATGCTTCCAGCATGTCAGCAATTTTCAAATTTCTGTGTGTCTGCAAATTTCTCCTGCATTTCAAATTCCACACCGAACTCATATCTCACAACTACAAATGTTGCCTACTTCCTAATTTCACATGATCAACCCATGACATACGCAGTAGCTTATGCAGAGTCTGCATTTGTGTTGTAAGGATAGCAGAATTTCCCTCTGGCATAAGTATTTTTGGGATTGTAATTATTGCAGATCTTGCCACAACTGATCTAATTAAAAAATAGTTCTAGGGAACTGTAACTAAATAACATGTAAAGATTGTATTAGTGTAAATATGAAACATTGAAAGTAATAGATTTAGCAGAATGAAGATTCTCAAAGCAGGCTTAACAAGACTCTCGACTCCCATGGCTCAGTCTTTCAGGCAGAGATCTTTGTGATCCTGGTATGTGCTCAGGAAATAATATTTATTTATTTATTTTTATACGGCATCCATTTACTTACAATTTTTACAAAGTTACATCTTAAAAACAATATATTATTAAAATAACAATCACAAGTTTTAAAAAGTTACACCTTAACAACAATAAATTATTAAAATAACAAACACCTCAGAATAATACAAACATATAAGAATAATACAGATGTATAACCAACTTATTGTAAGATATTTTTTAGTTGTTTTTTAAACAAACTAATTTTGGAGTCAAAAATATCTATTTGTCTTGGCAAGCTATTAGCACTCCGGACCAATCGTGTAGTTGGTTCATTGGTACCATCATTAGTGTGGTGAAATGGCACCGAAAAGATTTCTGATTGTCTGTTGCTTCTACTAGGAACTTTAAGACTAACAAGCGATAAGAGTTGAGGACAATC